CCATGTGCTGATCCACCGAGTTTGTGAATCTGACTGAAAGCAGAGTCCATCAGCAGAAATTAGGCAATTTTTTCTAGGAAACACCTCGACCGAGGAAATTGATTCAGATACTATTTTGTTTTTCCATTATCTTGTGATTTGGTTTGTCAGGAACGTGCAAAGATTTAGCGGTTTTTTGCGATCATCTCGAAACGCTCTAAAAGAATTTGTTTGCTAACTTTATATTCAGAATCGTATCAAAATTGATAATTAATATTGATATTTCTTTCCTTGTATCGATATTTATGATATTGACCCTGAGACAACCTTCAACTATCCAGCCTCAATGCTGATTATTTCGCCAATTCAGTGTTGTCATCTTGCTGTTCATTAATTTCTTCATTGAATTTTGTGGTGAAGTGGTGATATTTCAGGTTTGTTGAAATTCAATCAAAAGATACCTAGTATAGGTTCGCAACTCCACCGAAAGAAGTTTTTTGTTGTTTTCCTACCACCTCCTTCAATATGCTAGGAATATTCTCAAAATATTCGAGACAGAGTTCATTCCAAATCTTCATAGAACGTCTCTAGAATATCTGAATCACATTACGAATGTATCCAAATATTCTCAAAGAATATCCTACGGACGTTCTATAAATGACATTGTGCTATCTGATTACATCGCATGAATATACTTCCTGATTAAATGAACACTAGGTACTCTAGTGTAACTCTTTATTGTAGTTGAGCACTTATGAAATCATACTATGTTGAAAATAAATGTCGGTGTTGAACCTCACTGAAACAATCAACAGCTCAGAGGTATGTTATAGTCGAACGTGATACCAAAACAACAGTTATATGGCAACTCAGGAATTTGTTGGTCAGAACATTATTGAAATTATATTCTGATTATGTTCCTCTAAATGATCGAATTCATCCAGTATGTTGTTTTCATATAGTAACATAGTTGATTATCTGATTTTTACTTCTGTCAACTAACTGATATCAATAAATTATAATTCTGGACGGTTTCTCTCGTTTCTGTGTGTCTGCTGCGAATAACTTTGCAATAGGTTATGGGCCCAGACACCAGAACAGTGTAGTCATAATCCGAGTTGATAAGTTGAAAAATCAAAGGTTGTATGCAGTATGGCTTCTGGTGGTTCTCTACCTCCGACAGAAAAACTTAAAGGCAGAGAGAACTACGACACCTGGCATTTCGCTGTTCAGTCATACCTTTAGCATAAAGACTTGTGGTATTGTGTGCTCACAAAACCTTGAAAAATATACAAAACTTTTGGAAAATCGACAATTCCAGTTTTTTTCAAGAGGTGATTCTCATCGTTTTCGTATTATTGAGCAATAAATTGAATTCACACATTTCCGTCATTGCCTCATGGAGTGAAATTTTACGACAAATATCAAAAAAACTGCTCAATTATTCAATGATCAATAAGGAAGCGGAATCTTGTTGAAAACCTGGGTCTTTACTACGAAATTAACCTGTTAAAAAAACACTCTTGAGGTCATGCGTGTTTGCATTCGAGAAAATCACATCTTGGAAATATATGATGGTTCCACATTTTGAAGTCATTTTGTGAAGCAAAAACTCAATTTTACTCGATTCCACTCTCTGAATGACTATCACCGAATATAGGTTACATTCCGTGATACTCACCGGAGTGAAAAAACGGTGTCCAAGATAAGGATGTCAATCATGAGGATGGTTCCATTGCCTCTCCTTTTGTTTCGAAATTCAAATACAAGGCAGGTATTTCTTGTAATTTCCGAAGAATAATTTGAACACAAATAATCAAGAAACTGTTAGAATAGAAAGAGAAGACGAACTTATATACAGGGTGTCGAAGAGAATCGAAGTGGAAGAAAATGGAAGAAATAGTTGAAGCACCCTGTATGAATATCGATGAAGATCAGAAAATTACATGCTACTTTGGTATTCTCTACGTCAATCCGCCAGACAAAATTCAGATCTTCAAAGAAACAGCTCAACCACAGTTATTTCAATCAGAGCCTGCATGACTCCCTATTTTTTCGAAAAAATTAATAACTTGGCAACGGCGCATTGTGGCGAAACAAAAATCTCCTGCTGAGTAGGCAACGAAAGGACCATTTTGATGACAAAAAAATAAACGGGTTGTTCTATTTTGACAAATAAATATTTTTTGTTACTACGGAGAAATGCACCACCCTGTGAATCAGGAACTATTTTCAAGATGCGGCCTTCGTGGTGCCATAAAACTTTTATATGAACATTTTTTTCATATATTACAGCATTATCGAGACATCGAGCAAATACGCACTGTTGGGACACCCGGTATATCATATAAAAACAAGAGATACTTTCGGTTTGCCTTCTTCCAGAATCTTCAAAGCAGCGTTGAGAGATTTTTCATACAACGTTTCGTTTCGTTGAAACCATATATCATCAACTCCACCTCATGATTAACTTCCACATCTTGGACACCCTATATAACAGTTTATCATACTCTCTAGCAAGTTTAATGAGAAGTTGAACTGAGGACACTCATAAGAAAGTTGTTTTTATGGAAATAAAAAAAGGTCTGGTACTCATGTCATCTTTCAACACCCTACCCATCACTTAAAAACTTTCCGTAAAAATATACTATCACTATGAAGCTCTTGAGACGGCAAAATGCCCCTGTGTTTCCATTGCAGGACCCTGACGTCACCCGAGATCTATCACAGAGATTGATTATGCTTACATCCTCCCATGTTTTTCTAGATATCACATATCAATGTCTGTTATGCCGATGATCATTTATTTTGCTATCGATATGGATCAGGTCTTTGCGAATTGTGGACGAATGAATTTTAGAATATGAATGAACAGTACGGAGCAAGTATAGCTATGGATTCTATTTAGGCAGGAGAGAACAATATTCAATACCGCTGCTAGGAAACCAGCCAAGGCATTTGATTTTTTGGTATGTGAAACCCATGATTTTGCCTTCAAATGTTATATAACAAATTTTGTGTAGTTTTTTTATCGAAAACTCCATCATTTTGTGTTTCCCCAATGTCATTGTCAATTCTAGTTACCAAGTTGATTCAAATTAGGTGGAACGTTGCATAGCAACAAACTTCTTCTGCCTGGGCAGTGAAAATACACCTTTCCTACGACCACCTATCGAAGCTGCATATTCTTGATAGGAAATAAGCGTAAGTCACCTATCGGAGTTTTTGAAAGCTTCCAAAGCGGCCTGTTTATTTAGTTATCATTGGTTGGTTTCTTTTTCTTTGTATCGCTTGGACCGCACGAAAGGGAATCCCTATAATGTTCAAAGAACATCGTGTTATTTTTTATCGCGACTAGCGCACTGTGTTGTTGCTCAGAAAGAATCTCAATCACCATAACAATGCGAAAGTGGAAACGAACAGGGCCGCATGTTCACGTGATCTCTCCTTGGTCTGGCTATATTCCGAATTCAACTGACAGTACTGAATCTGCGGATTTTTCATTCCGAAATCAAAAAATTCACTGAGAGTGACAGATGCTTGTGAGCAGACATACTATTCATTTCAAATATTTCGACAAAAAAGCTTAGGATCAAAAAGGTGGTGTGGCTTCAGTGAACTGTCTTTCTTTCGGAGGGGTAAGAGATGAAACATTTATTTCCCTCAATAGTTATATTATTTTCAATATCAGAAAATACCTGTTATTGAAATAATAAACGATGAGAATGATATAGAGTTTGAAGTAGTAGAGGTAACGAAACAAGAAGCAGTCGTCACTCGAGCTTGAATCGTCATCGTTAACAATCGTTGAAACTTTTAGAAACTACGGAGGTTACAAGAATCGATTGCTCTTTCATGTTGAATATTGAATCCCCTAAATCAATTTCAAGCAGGAGGCTGAATATTATCTAGTTCAGATAACCGAGAAACTACAGACTGACAAATTTCACCATGCTAAGCAACTGCTGCTCACTACTGATGGAAACCATGAAAACATGTTCCGAATTAAAGCACTATATTTTTGATTTTATATTTCGAAATACAGATTTTCAGCATAGTCAGTGGATCTACTGACAGTACTGACCAGTTGAATTCGGAATATAGCATTTATATAATTTCTATATTCCCAATTCAACTGACACAACTGATAGTACTGACTCTGCTGGTTTTTCATTCCGAAATAAAAAAAATACTGAGCAGACATACTATTCATTCCAGATATTTCAACTCAACACTCTCCTGAAATTGTTGTCTATAAGAAAGTAACTTGGCTTCAGTAAACTGTCATCATTTCAGTTGGGGAAGGAATGCAACATTTATTTTCGCTGTTTCGCAAACATTTAGTCTTGTCTAGTCAGCTGATCAAATCAACTGCTGCTGATTATCATATTTTTATACCTACTTTCATTGTATATACATTAATTTTCTTCATATTTCAAATGTTGCCCCATGTAGTACATTGTTTAGGTTTCGGTATTTTTTTATAATCTACGAGACATACGTTTCGTTTTTCCCATTCATCCACATGTACATCTTTTATTGAGTATTATTTCTTCAAAATGGATTTCTCGTTGCCAGGTACTCCTGATTTTCAGAATTCATCATCAGTTATTATCAGTGACCTTTCTTAATAACATAATTCTTCCTCTATAGTAGTTGGAAAATATAGTCTGATAACATATGGAGCTTTTCAATTTTCATAGTTCTCTAGTTGAAACCTTATTGTAATTTAGTTATACAGGGTGGTCCGTTTTTTAATACGGAAAATTCAACAGCGTATAGTACTCGTTCAAATAATAAATAAACTTCCTATGAACATATACTTTCAAACGATTCGTTTTCGAGATATAGGGTGTTCAAGTCCATAAGACTTTATGTGAGAAGTCGTTATTGTTGTCAACTTTATTTGAGATTAATTCCGAAAAAGACACTCTCTTCTCAGGATCTTCAGGATGTAAATGTTGTACCGGCATCAAAGGAAAAGGCTTCCTGTGATCTAAATATAGTATTCGTAAAATGTTCGATTTTGAAACCTGAACTATTTCAACTATTACTTCTGTTTATGCGTGCAATAGTATAAACTGATAACTAGTATTGAACGAAAAGAGAAAACCAAAATTACTAAAAGAATGACATGATATCAGTTTATAAATAACCTACAACTGTTGAGCTGCTTTTATAGAACTGATTTGTTGGTTAACATCAAGAAATCTAAGAATGTAATTGTTATCATTTCTTCTCAGTGGGCCATTATTTCGGTATTGTTCATTTTTGCCACGCAACCCAAACTGACAGAAACGTGAGTGAGTATTGATAAAGAATCGTGCATTAGGTACCCTTCTCCTAGGGAAGCGATTTCTGTATTCTCGAACTGCTGCCTCTGCGTTTCCATTACAAAATCCGTGAGCGAAATAAATATCTTCATACTTTTCAGTACTAAATCCCATAGGCATATTGACAAACGGAAAAACGGATAAAAACACGGAATAACTCCAGTTTGTTATTTCTTTGACAGAAGTTTCAGAGTGACAGCACATATAAACAGTGAACAGTGAGCAACTGAGCGTAGCCTACTTCTTTAATTGATATCAAGTAGTATTATTTTTAACAAGAAGTTGTTATAAAATCTTACAAGCGAGCTTTTTTCATTGAAACTTGAAAAATGAATGAAAAATAATGACCCGAAAAATTTGTGTAATTATTACCTTCGCCACCCCAGATTTAGGCGCCTCTGAATTGTTTTGATGAATAATCTTCATTTAATCTGATGAAGCTCAAAAAGTCTAGTATCTATTGAAAATTCCGTTAATTTATCTACCGTTTTTAACTTTCGATTAAAAAAATATATTCAGAAGCGAATTTTCGACACCCAATATCTCAAAAACGAAGCGTTCAAAACTATATGTTCATCGGAAGTTTTTTCATTATTTCAACGAGTGCTTTACTCTGTTAAATTTTCCGTATTAAAAAACGGACCACCCTGTATAATAGAGACAGGTTAACATTGTTGAGATTGTTTCAAATAGCAACAAACGAGTTGAACATGGTAGTTATATGCTTCTGGATGATAGGAGTCTCTCCAATTATTATGAAGGAACATTATGAAATACTGAACACATGCATTTAATAATGAAATCCGAAACCTCAGGTCGGTAGCTTGATACTGACCCAATATCATCATAATTGGAAGATCCACCTCCTATATTATCTTTCGATTGAGAATACTCCTGCCATCATGAATAAACATGCACAAGGGGAAGTAAGGAGTAAAAAAATTTTACATAAAAGCAGAGGAAAACGAAACATATGCGATTACGAGGATCGCATAGGTATATAATTATATTCCAAATGATCAACTGATTGTTGATAATATGGACGTTCCTAGACCACCCACTAGGAGGACGAGTAGTAAATAGGATATTGACCAGCAAAGGGCCACAACTTTTCCCAGACTTTCCTGAACTAGGCTAGACGTCTCCTGGTAGCTCAATGTTTGCTGGGAAATCACTGTATGTTGTCGAATTCATATAATTATCCGAATTCCATCAGCCTGGCAGCCTGTTCTTGAGCCGATATCCATCATTTCCAATCAATTATTTCTAACTTCAACGTTTAACAGTAGATTATAATGTATCGAAACTACCTGATACTAGAAGAAGGAACAGAAGCTTCCGTACAATTTGTTAGACTTACTAGAGGACACTACTTTATCGAGGTTATAGGAAGTGTCATTCATTGTGTACTATCCATTAAATTCATCAGGAAGGAAGTCGATAAACCAGGACACTTATGAATACTTGAATCTAGCTATAGCTATGATGGAACAGTGATAAATGATGCATGTGTCGTAACCCTCGCTTTATGAGACAAACGTGTAGACAGTTAATAGAGTAACGTTGTGTGCCATCCGCCGTGTAAAATGTAATTTTTCATTCACGTGAAAAAGAGGCGAAATAAAGGACGTTTAGATGTTACCTCGTGAAAAATATGAATCATAAATTACTTCAGGCAGTCCACACGTACATGAAGCCCGATGTTGACTGCTCAGCATTAGAAATGAGCGGCATATAAATCCGGAAAGTTTTTCGTTTTATGATACCATTTGTCGAAATGAAAGGAACATTGGTCATCTCGGAAAACGATGTATTTATACATTTGTACGGGGGCATGAATGCTCATGCATGGACGATGGAGGCATCAATCATATCAGCACTGTGTTCTGGAATGTTTCGCCGACATTCCACTAGATGGAATTTGATGATGTCACAGTTTGGGTTGTTGTCAATTCAAGAGCGATTGCAACATACAGAGTGAAGTGGAAATCCAAATTGATCACACTGAAAGCCGCATCAACTGAAACCATCTTTAATGAAAATTTCATTATCTGCAAGGAACTCTCAGGAAGGTTTCGAATATTCATCACGACTAATAGAGTCCAGGATGACTTTACAGAGTTGAACCAACGGTTTTCTGACTGGATATTTGAAATCGTGAGAGTTTTCATTATATGCCTAGCTACTCATCTTCGTTGTTGTTGTTGATATATTTTATTCATAATCATTCCAAGGGTACCTTATGATTTCAAAAATAATCCATAGGAATAATCTGATCTGAATATATTTGTATTAAAGATGAATAATAATTATGAAATGGATTTCTTGGACCATTTCAGTTTTTCATGATTTGTGAACTCCTCCTTATTCACGGCTGATTACCAGGGGGTGGAGGGTAACGAAGAAGACGACATCCTCGCCAAACAGGGAACCGAATATGTGTTCATAGGACCAGAACAATATTTTGAGGTCAACGCAAGTGCGGCGAAAACAAATATCTCGGGCTGGGCGGAGGAACAAACACTCACGTACTGGTCTGAATTACCAGGATTAACCCATTCGAAGGCGTTTCTGCCTGAACCATCGAAAACAATAACCATGCAGATCCTAGAATGGAGTAGGGGTAACCTGCGAATTCTGACTGGACTGCTTACGGGACACTGTCGTCTAAGATACCACCTGGGAAGTATGGGTCTGAACCAACAAACGGACTGTCGGTTCTGTTGTGTGGAAGACGAAACGGCTGAACACATATTATGTTCATGCTCTAGCTTAGAAAGACTAAGGTTCGACACATTTGGCTCAACCAATTTAGAACCTATCGATTTCAGATATATCTTACCCAATTCAACCATGAACTTCGTGAAAAGATGTGTATTGTACGGTGAACTGTAACCTCTAGGGGTGAGCCACGATAGACCCATCTGGGGTCGCAGTAGAGCAAAGGTATTCGCCCCACTTACATGGACCCTAACCTAACCTAACCTAACCTACGGCTAATTCATTCAATTCCGAAGATTTTTCATTTTCATTCATTTCATCATACTATTACACCAAACACTACATGTTTGAAACTGACACTTCTGAGATGTTTTCATATTGTTTCCATATAGTATTAGTTTGGAGAAAATGTATGATTGGAGTACCAATATCTAGCCTTATGAGCAGACCGTTACATAAAAGGTTCACGAGCTCTTGGACTATAACTGCATTTCAGCTAATATCATTACTCAATATCGGAGCTGAAAATATATTGCCAACAAGTTTATCATCGAATTGGAGATATAATTCACCTTTTTCTACAAACAAAAGATAACCCATTACCAATTCAGTTTTTCGAAGTTGGATATACTACTCCACGAATCCGTGATAAATTTGAGCAGTTGGAAATACACTATCGATAACTAATTATTGTGAGTGCATGGTTGAACAGGATCTCCTCGAACAACAACAACAAACTAAGTATAAATATGTATCAAAGGCGTAGTGAAGCTGGATTTTTCTAATTAAATAATTGAATAATCACTCTCGTAACGTAGTTGTTGGTGAGATTAATTATACCTAAATGAAGGGTAGATAGGTATGGAGGTTGGAAATCAACCACCCCATGGCACCATCTACGCCTGTAAGTTTCTACGTATAATGAAGGGGTGATTTATCTGCAATTAACTTTAAGGCTCATTTAGAACTCCCTATAGTTTATAACGCAGACAGATGAATGTGCTGTCTACACTGTGATTTCCCTGTGAAATTAGTTTATCCATTGTATATCAGCCACAAAGAGGAATGAAATTGAATATTACTCGAGAAATGTATGACAACTACAGTTTTGTACCGAATTTCCTTAACGACTGCACTATCCCCCTCTGCATCAGGTTCGGCATTTTTCAAGTCTCTACACATGCCAAATCACTTAATTTCATTCACAAACGATTGAGATTGAAGTCATGCATACTATTGTTGACCGATACTAGTGAATTCTTGAGTCCCTGTATGCATTTGACAGTTCTGCTTATTACAGCAAAACTGTCAAATACATACAGGGACTCTGAAGAATCCAATAATTTCACTCTTGCTGATTATATTAACACTCTGTCATTGTTCAATTCACTTCATCTGAGCTCAGATATTGAGACCCTAGTGGAATAAAGTACTTCTCAAATGTCTCCTCTTCTACACAAATTCAAATTCTTGGACTATAACTAACACGTCGGATTAGAAAGACTAACAAAAAGGTCAGATTATTTGACAATTAATCCCCACTAAGCAAATTTGAAAGCTATGTTGATGCAAGGTTGTGGCAATCACTGAAACGGGCGTTCAGCAATATTGCGAGTGCAAATTTGTAAATGTAACCTTCCAGCAATGTCACAGCATTTTGTAACATTGATGCAACGCTACATTATCAAACTTTACCTTTGCAATATTGTTAAACGCTCGTTTCAGTCATAGCTTCAACATTGCATCAATTAACATAGCTTTGAACTCAGGTTAGTGAGCCAGAGGCAGAGCTTGAATTTTCAATGTTTCACAGCTCCGCATTTCACAGAATCGAAATGCCAAAACTGCCATTAACACAAACAAAATTATTATCATTGAGCATTGTTTTTTTTTTCGATATCTTCGAAAAGCGGTGTCGCTCGCCGTACGGTTCCATTTAAAATTATTGATCACAATGGCCTTGTGACGTTATCTTTGACGATTCCGTTAACTATCATCATTAGGGAAGGTATCATCGTTCAAAAGATAAAAAGGGAAGGGTACTTTGAAGAAGCACTGTATTTTCAACATTAAGTTTTTTGGTCATGTTGCTCTGAACCCACTTGGTTCTCGGAAGAATTCTAGTCGAATTTGATGGACAAGAAACACAAACAATTTCTTAGAAGAAAATTCCCCAGCCAACATTGATACATGGTTCATCATTTTTAGAGTAATGTAATGTCACCCCAGTGGAATATCATTGGCTCAATATCGGCATTTTTCAATGGTAATTCACAAAAGTTGCCCACTATCTGACTTAACGCCAATACTGGCGAAGCAATACTTCCATTTATTGCTTGTTCATTGTTGACTCAGTGATTACTGACTGACGTATTTTCAGTGCATTCTCAATGAAAATCAAGTGATTTCATTCTTACACCGAGAATTCTGAAGTTACTCATAGAGAATATCATGTTACTAATAATAATGCTGATATAAATAATAATTACTGCAATAAAACCTCTCGTAATCAGTTATATATCCACATCTGATCTGTTCAATCAGCCAAGGGTTCACGAATCCTGTTTCTGTTGATTGATATTGTAATTTCTGGAAAACTTATCATAACATATGACGATGAATATTCTCGAAGAATTTCAGTTTATATACATCTGAATTTGTTATCCCGATTCGATGAGATTGAATGATAATGCACTCATACGACTTTCTATTTATCCACTTGTTCACTTTAAATCCTACAATAACAAATGACAGCTCATGCGCAAAAAGATAGAAAAAACAAAACGGAAGACCCAGTGAAAACACATCAATTGTCAACTTTATGGTCCATTGTCATTTCATTGATGACTTGATGACACTGAGGAATCTATATATATATATATATATATATATATATCTTTCAATCATCGTTCAACTAAAACTGTTCAAGTGATATTTGTGAAATGGATCATATCCATTGATGCCCGAATGTCGTTGAAATAGTGTAATCTTGATCTTCAGAAAATTTACTATTGTATCAGCACAAGATGCGAGTGCAACATACGTATTATATGATTGAAACAGCAATAAATACGTATTTTTTCATTACTGGAAATAGTGCCAGCAATATATCATCGATCAGATCGATGGGCCACTGAATCGCCAGCTATTTCGTCATTGTTGGTTTAGGTAGGATAAAATTAGTAGACCAAGAATATATCTTTTCATTCTGTTCAAATTATCAGAATGTTGAAAGACATCTTCTGGGTGTCATTTTATCTTTGCACATAATCTCAACAACCTATAGCTTGATACATTCCGGAACATACGGAGAACTGCACAAAAAAATAACCAGAGCTGTAAGTTTGGAATCATTTGATATCGGATTCTGAGATCTGGTGGGTAGCAAGTACACCAAATCGCTCATTCATTGACAAAAAAATATTAGTTTCATCACTCTAAGTGAAGCATACCCTGCTTTCGAATTTCAGGTAGGACACGTCACCAAATTTCAACGGTTCTTGACTAAACCTATTATGCATGCATGACATTGAGAATATTTCATCGCAGAGTTTATGATCATGATTCTTGAGCAATATTCATGGTCTAGTATCATTAGGATCTCTTGGTTTCACAAGATGTACATTTTTGCTCATGAATCTAGAGAATCTACTTACTAATTTGTGACAATTGTTAAATTCCTTAACTGATCGTTGAAAATAACACATATTCACTCAAAGCTCAGCCAGATTTTCAACTTCTCTCGACTCCTTCTACTCTGAATTACTCAGTGTTTTCATCATGATAAAATTATTGGTGAACAACATCTGAACTATCATCAGAAAATCCCAAAACACTGGCTCTCTAAAAGTGGTTCTCATTATTCCTCAAGAAGTCATTTGATTCCATTTCAACGTAACTAGAGAAAATGTGAATTTCATCATCGAATAATTGTGAGGAAAAACGATATTTCAGGTCAAAGATTGCATATGTGTTCTAGACTAGTAGTTGAAGAATATCTTTCATGTTCTCGACGTATACCATACTAGCTTATTCAGGAATTTCAATTGAATTCTGTGGATACTCTGTATATCATTATTTGAAGAAAAGAATACATAAATGATAGATATTTTTCTAGGTGATCATTAGAGTTCCTGACTGATCGAATGTTACTCACAACTTTATTTTCAATCGATTCTTAAATCTTCGACTTTTCTCATACTGTGCAAATATTCAAGTGGAAACATCTGAAATTGGTGCACTCTTCATCGCCATTCTAAAAATATTTCCCAGAGAACATCATGTGTCAGCACAAACAAGACGAATTTCCATTACAATGCTAAAACTACAGTGAAGGATACATCCTCCAAAGCAGATATTCGGAAACAAAAACAAGTGACATGATGAGGACTGCAGCTAACAACGGTATTCGTTGTTTATTGATTTTCATTATGAGAGAAACCAGGACAGAAACTTACAAAGTAACATGATGCAGATTACTAACGACTATTATAGTGAAGTTATAGTCACGATGACCCTGATAGGACAAAACGATTCTGAAATGAACACTGTCGCCATTAGAAAGGATGAAGGAAATGAAGTGAATACAATACATGAAGCTGGAGACGGAAAATATGGACTGATTATCCTGGACATGAAACTTTATGGCCATTAGCAATAAATACGTTTTTTTGTGGTTGTGACCAATATTGAAACAGACATCAGCATATGCTTTTTGACAACAAATAAACTATAGTTCTTTATCAACTGAAAATGTGAATATCTGATTCGAATCACCTACATAAAATGGTTTTTTTGTCTGAGTTATAAGATTTTCTATTCGAGAATGATAAATTATTCGTGAACTATACTCTGAAACCATCTGACGTCATCTGCTATATTCCACAGAAAGTGTAGATACTATACACTCAACTGGATTACGCTGAATAAACGTTTCTAGCTACTACCAGATGCGTACGACAGGGGCAAGTGACTGTTTTACCTTTTCTCAATTTGAGTTTCATCACAATTCTCCGATTCTCCAATTCCTTCGATTTCAATATCGTATCAATCCTTCATAACGGTGGAGTCATTATTTTTGGGGATATTTCAAGCTAAACATAGAGCTGCACAATTATTCTGATGAGTGATGATTGAAACGGTATTTTGATTCATTTTATCTCGGTGGGTTGGATTGTATTTTTTGAGTTCACGATTCTATGATTGACATTTTTTCAATATGTATTCAATGACTGACAGAAAACTCCCTGAACCATAGCGCCGCAATAATTTATTCAACTCTGAGGAGCACACAGCGAATGAGATAACTCGTTAGATACTACACCACACACAGTTTTACCACTAAATAAGCCGACTTTTTCACGCCTCAACACGTGTCGAGGCGTGAGATAATTGGTTTGGTTAGTGGTATAACAGTGTGTAGTGTATCATCGTTCCCAAGGTTCTAGACTTCGATATATCAGATACTATTAGTAGGTATCAACTGTAACGTCAGACACTGTCGACAATTTGTTCAGATGGTACCATATGTTTATCCTAATTGATTTCTGATCAAGGTTTTTCCTGAATACAGTGATGTATAACAAGTTGACTGTTAGACAAAATCAATTGAATTAAGAGAATTCATTCCAGAGTAAATATTCTCTTGGAAGAAGTAAATGTATCAATCAATGTCACAGAAATATCAGTGTATGTTGATGAAATGAATGTCAGTATATCATTTGTAAAATATCCCCACACCACATGTGATATCTAACTTCCTGTCGAAAAAATCGAAAGACCCATCCAAACTGGCCATCGTTAAAATGAACACACAATGAGCACATACTGATTTGTCCATGACATATGACAATATTCGAACTCAAGTCTCAGAGCAATCAGTAGGTGTGAATAATTGATTGACGTAACAAATAACCAATTTGATCATTTTATGTTTTCACACAGCACACTTCAATCTGATGAGTACTAGCTGTTTCACAGTTACTTGCACAAGAATCTTATCAGGGTAGTTGAGGAACTGAATCTTATGCCCCAACTGAGTGCTCATAGTCGATATTGACAACACGGCAGATATATTCAGCAATATTTCATATATCTTGATGAAGTTCCCGATAACAACGTTACTAAATTAGCTACCCTTCCTAGATAATCGAACCAATTTACTGCCACACTCAATTCCACATCCCGAAATTCAATCGAAATATCTATTTCTTTCAAACTGAGAATCAATTCAATTCTGCCTTGTCAACTTGTACATCATTGTATTCCGAAAAAAATTTCATTTAGAAAAAATACATAAAATTGACAGTCCCTGACGTTAGTCTCCTCATAGAATCTGATCAGGTAGAACATTTGCTTTCTTGTTTCCTAAAATTTGATAAGTGATAGCATCGCTATGGCTTGAAGCATTTTTGTCACTCAACCTGTACAGGATGGCTGGAATCCGAGCTTCATCATATACAGATCTTCGAAAGCATTTGGTATTTTTCAAATTTCGTAACGGCATTTTGTCCGGCAAGAACCTGCGCAGCTTTGCAGCCGACCCTGTATCTCTTACGGTTCACAAGATCCTATTGATAAGGCTCGCGCACCAGCCACCCTTTACATGCGACCACATATACGATCACCCTCCTGTTCATTCAGCTATCACCCTCTGCACCCCTGCTTCAACCAGTAGTTTGGCAAAAAGCGCTCCGACCTTCATTGCAGATGTCTCTGCAGGTGTCGTGGGTGCGGCACCGCGACGTCCACCTGCTCACCGTCGGTCGCTACACCTACACCAGCGACCAGCGCTTCAGGGCCATCCACCAACCGCACTCCGAGGATTGGACGCTGCAGATCAAGTATCCGCAGCACAGGGACTCAGGGGTGTACGAGTGCCAGGTCTCCTCCACGCCGCATCTCAGCCACTTCATACACCTCACCGTCATAGGTGAGTTTTTGTTTGTTCGTTTTGTATCACACTACTTGGAATTGAAAAAGAACTCACCATGAGTGGAAATCTGTGCGAAACTAGGAATAGCAAGTCCTGAAGCGTATAGAGACTATGAACCAGTTCTAGGGCGCTTTGGACCGCTCGGGCACCATTTCCAAGAATGGAACCAAACAATATACGTGATTCAAACATCATAAAAACGTTAATGGCAATGGTGACTTATATGCACTGCATTCGTTGCACCTCATACATATCACCGTCATAGGTGTGTGGAACCTCATACTTAGGCTCAGTTTTATGAATAACAGTAAACTTCTGAGAGATAGCCTCATGACATAGTCATGACATAGTCTTCACGGAGTTGACTGAGACACTCTTATTCTCAGAGATGTTTCATTAATATATACTTCGCATTCTAATGAATGAATGGATTGAATTCTTGTTTATTGAGCTCTCCCAAGTCAACGTCAGCAACGTGGGCTTGACTAGCGCTGTCATGCAGAAAGTCCCATCTCATAGTCACCTTTCAATTATACGAAATGTTGATTGGTCTGAGTTTTTCAACTGGGTCTCTCGTGTGTTCAGACTTTTTTAGGCAGAGTGCGGTACAGTAATGCGTTGGAGCAGCACTCTTGATGATTCAAGTTTTCTTTTCAGAATACGGAGGAAAGTTCATTCCAATCACTCAATTTTCGTGTTTTGATTTGCAATTTGGTTATTTTATAGTTTTGACGGCCATTTGAGATGGCCATCGAAGTAGATGGGAGTGATTTGAAGCTAGAGCAAGCAAAAGTCATCGAAAGATCCTTACCCGTTCAAACTCAGAGGGTGACTTTGCCCATCTATACGTGTACCGGATACAATAAAAATGATTCTTCGGAAAATCAACTTGGGAAGCGGATTCAGGAATTGACAGAAATCGACCATGCTACCGCACAAGAGGTCAAGAAATAGGTCATTCATCAAAATCTGTATGGATTTCATGAAGAGAATTCAGTGCCGAAATTGAAGAATATCAAGGATGTTGCGAGAATACACGTATGATGATTGAGAATCATTAAGTATATCTACCAACACCAGCGACCAGAGCTTCAGGGCCATCCACCAACCGCACTCAGAGGTATGGACGCTGAAGATCAAGTATCCGTAGCATAGGGACTCAGGGGTGTACGAGTGCCAGGTCTTGTCCACGCCACATCTCAGCCACTTCATACACGTCACTGAGTTTTTGTTGGTTCGTTTCGTATATTGCCACTTCGGAATTGGAGAGCAACTCTCCAGAAGTCGAAATTCGTGCGAATTTAGGATGGACAAGTTATGAAGCGTATAGAGGCTATGAACCATTTCTATGGCGCTTTGGATCTCTCGGACACCGTGCCCAAGAGTGGAGACTAACACTTGTCAATGGTGACTTCTATACAATGCATCTGTCGCACTTCATATACATCTCACCGTCATATGGGTATACAGGGTGGGCCACCAGTAACGCCTCGGTCTCTAGAAGGCTAACCACTTATCTTCTTGGAATTCTTCCTCTCTAGGGAGTTGCATGTCAACATAGGCTACCATTTGAAATTATTTTGAAACATACAGGATGTCCCCAAAAATCACAAAACACTGAAAATGAACTTTTTTCAATCGAGCACCCTATATATCATTTGATTTCGAGATTCTCCCTGGTGAGCTGATTTCAAGAATCCATCATACTTGGGGTCTAGCAGTTATAATTACTGAGATATAGGGTGTGAGAAATCGAGATTTTCCAAGTTCAAGAATTTTTTGTGTCTAAACCATTCATAATTGGTCAAAACGGCTCACATGTCCCTATCTCAACTTTTGATCAACTATCTACTGACATTTAATTAAAACAAATACAGGGTGGTGCAGAATTTAGAATCTTGATCACCCGGTATATGTTCCAATTAAATATCAGTAGATAGTTAATCAAAAGTTGATATAGGGATATGTAAGCCGTTTTGACCAATTATGAATAGTTTCGACACAAAAAATTCTTGAACTTGGAAAATCTCGATTTTTCACACCCTATATTTCAGTAAATATAACTGTTAGACCCCAAGTATGATGGGTAGTTGAAATCAGCTCATCAGGGAGAATCTCAAAATGAAATAATATATAGGGTGTTCGATAGAAAAAAGTTTAACTTCAGTGTTTTATGGTTTTTGGGGACACCCTGTATGTTTCGAAACAATTTCAAATGGTAGCCTATGTTGACATGCAACTTCCTAGAGAGAAAGAATTCCAAGAAGATCAGTGGTTAGCCTTCTAGAGACCGAGGCGTTACTGGTGGTCCACCCTATATAACCACGGACTTAGGGCCCAGTTTCACCAATAGCAGTTCTAGGGCGCCTTTGAACCTCTCTGAAACCGTGCCCAAGAGTGGATCCTCACACATGCAACTTCCTAGAGAGAAAGAATTCCAAGAAGATCAGTGGTTAGCCTTCTAGAGACCGAGGCGTTACTGGTGGTCCACCCTGTATAACCACGGACCTAGGCCCAGTTTCACCAATAGCAGTTCTAGGACGCTTCGGACCTCTTGGACGCCGTGCCAAAGAGTGGATCCTCACACATGTCAATGGTGACTTTTATACAATGCATCTGTCGCACTTCATAATCATCTCACCGTCATAGGTGTGTAGAACCTCGGACTTAGGCCTAGGTTCACCACTAGCATTGCGACTGCTATCTTTAGGATTATAAAGGTATCTTTGAGATTGCTTTCTGTTTTCCTTTTTCTAATAATGTTACAACACGCACAGTCTTCACAAAGTTAGCTCAGATACTTCCGGTATCAGAGATGATACGAGGTTTCATTGATTATCACTTCTCATTCTGATAGAAATGAATAGAAATTAACATCTTCTCAAATGAGCTCTCCAGTATTCGACGTCAGCAACGTGGGCTGGACTGCACTGTCATGTGAGAAGTCACTTCTCATTGCTAACCCCCGAACATACTGATTGTTGATTGGGCAACTGGACGTTTCGTGTGTTCTGACTTTTTGAGGCAGTGCGATAGGGTAAAGCGGTGGAGCTTCATTTTTAACGAATTAACGGTTCTCTTCGAAATAGAGAAGATGTATTATTACAATCACAGTGTTTTTGTGTTATGATCTGCAATTCGGTCATTGTATATTTTTGATGGCCATTCAAGAAGGCCAGCGAAGCTGGTGATAGTGAAAGATACTTACACGTACAAACTCAGAGGGTGAATTTGAACATCTTTTCGTGTCTCAAGTACAATAAGAATGGTTTTTCGAACGCTCAACTCGTGGAGTGAATTCAAGAATTGACTGAAATCAGTCATGCTACCGCACTTATCAGAATCGAATATGTCGTGATATTGAAGAAAAAACAATTAGACAAGAGCCTAAGAAGCTAGAAGAGTCCTTCTCCGGATCCTGTATGAATATTATGAAGAGTATATAGTGCCAAACTCATAGAATATCATGGATGTCGAAAGAATACACGTATTGTCATCTCAGCCAGCCACTTCATACACCTCACCGTCATAGGTGAGTTTTTGTTTGTTCATTTGGTGTATCGCTACTTCGGTTTGGAAAAAAAACTCCCCAGAAGTCGAAATTTGTGACTTTAAACCAGTACTAGGGTGCTATGGACCACTCGGACACCGTGTCAAAAAGTGGGACCTAACACTTCACGTAATCCTAACATCATGAAAACGTGAATGTCTATGGTGACTTCTATAGATTGCTTCTGTCGCACTCTATGAATCTCAACGATATAGATGTGGAGAACTCAGGCCCAGTTTCACCAATAGCATTGCGACTGTCAGCTAGGACAATGAAGAATAAAGGGATTTTTAGGAGATTTCCTTCTGTTGTTTCTCAATTATTGTGCTAACTATACATATTCTTCACAAAGTGACGTTAAAAACTTCCGATCTCAGAGATAATACGATGTTTCATCGATTAACTTCGCATTCTAATAACAATGAAATAAATATTCATTCTATTCAGCTTTTCAGTATACAGTCAACATCAAAAACGTTGTCTGGACTACTGCTCCTATCACTGGATAGCTTTCGTGTGATATATCGATTTGTTTCTCTACTTATTCTTTCTTTTTCAGTTGAAAAATTACATTCGTAGGTGTGATTTTTAGAGATGTGGCAATTCAATAATATGAGAGATGATAACAATCCCCACCTCTCTCTTCCTAGCTTCCTTGTCAACATTTCAATAAAATTCAAACATGAATGTTTCATTTTATAGCACATATGAGTTGCCAGTTCCAACTCAAATCCTAATAAAAAAAAACATCGAGCTACTCTATCATTGTGTAATCTTTGGTTTATTCTGTTGTTAACAAACTTGACATGAAGGTGGAACTCGATTGAAACACAAAAAATGTCTGAGGTCAGGATGAGGAATCGATAGATCAATATGGAATATAGGTCACTGACTCTCTGACTATTAGCAACTTTTGGCATCAACTAGTTGCAATAACTAGATACGTTTCATTGGGAGTATATATGAATTAACCTCATTGGTTTTTGGATTTATGACAAATTGATATTCATCATACAGGACGTGGGGAGGAGTTCTGAATTGAGAAAACCTAATCACGAATCTGCGATTGAAGGATTTAAAAAAATATCATTTTATAAAAATGAATATAGTATTTTCGAAGATATATGAAAATATAGAAATATAGCTCACATTCAGGTAGCTTAATGGTTGAAAATGAAATAACTACATCGAAATTTCAAATTGAAATATTTCTCCCAAATTTCTCAGTCAATCCCAATTGTTTGCACACTCCTAACCATAAGTTTTTCAAAACTCTACTCGATCACAACTCAGAATAAGAACAACCGTATTCAACAAAGGAAATGCATGACGTACGAGTTTACAGATCGACTGGACCGACTCAATTCTGATAACTGTCATGGTATGGCATTTCGACAAAAAAAATTCTTGTTTGTTTGTACTCGGAACACATTCGTCAACGGTCGTT